GGCATCCTGCCTTCTAGGAGAGGTCAGTGGGAGTGTCCCAAGGCAGCAGGAGTGATATGGGAGCAGCAGAAGCTGTTTGGCAATTTTCGGGTGCACCGACCCTGCGAGGTAGACCATCCCAAGCAGCACTTTGTTTCATTTTGGGGTACCGAGTGACCCCTCAGTGGTTTCATCTCGACGAGACGGACCTCTGGGCACCAGTTTTGGGGGCAATCGGGGTACCCCAAATCTTTCCATTTTTTGGAAATGCCCTCAGGCATCCTGCCTTCTAGGAGAGGTCAGTGAGAGTGTCCCAAAGCGGCAAGAGCGATATGGGGGCAGCAGAAGCTGTTTGGCTATTTTGGGGTGCGCCGAACCTGCGAGGTAGACCATTCCAAACAGCACTTTGTTTCATTTCGGGGTATCGAGTGACCCCTCAGTGGTCTCATCTCGACGAGGCGAACCTCTGGGCACCATTTTGGGGGCAATCGGGGTACCCCAAATGTTTCCATTTTGGGAATGCCCTCAGGCATCCTGCCTTCTTGGAGAGGTCAGTGGGAGTGTCCCAAGGCGGCAAGAACGATTTGGGGGCAGCAGACACTGTTTTGGCGATTTTGGGGTGCGCCGACCCTGCGAGGTAGACCATCCCAAGCAGCACTTTGTTTCATTTCGGGGTATCGAGTGACCCCTCAGTGGTCTCATCTCGACGAGGCGGACCTCTGGGCACCATTTTTGGGGAAATCAGGGTACCCCAAATGTTTCCATTTTGGGGAGTGCCCTCAGGCATTCTGCCTTCTAGGAGAGGTCAATGGGAGTGTCCCAAGGTGGCAGGAGTGATTTGTGGGCAGCAGACACTGTTTTGCGATTTTGGGGTGCACTGACCCTGCGAGGTAGACCATCCCAAGCAGCACTTTGTTTCATTTCGGGGTATCGAGTGACCCCTCAGTGGTCTCATCTCGACGAGGCGGACCTCTGGGCAGTGATTTTGGGGGCAATTGGGGGTACCCCAAAAATTCCAGTTTTGGGGCGCCCTCCTTCATCACGCTGGGGAGTGTCTGGCGACATTTAAACATGCCAATGAGCACCAGAATGGGGTGGTTTCAGGGTAGCAGGGATAAAAGGGCAGGCCTGCTGCACACCATCCACGCTAGCTTTAAAAATCTACCGGCTTTCACGTTCCTCTCTTCCAGAAGCAAAGATTGGCTTTTCAGGACCTGAACATGCTCCCAGTGTGTTCCAGCTTCCTAAAAGGCACTCAGATTAAAACTACAATCACTTTAAAACAACTATAACCACATCTATAGCACATGCATTATCATTATGCCTATGCAGGGGAATGAATGTGATCTGTGCAAGATTAAGGGAAAGTAGACATTCCTTCTGACAAAGTTAATACCGCTGTCCCTCCACATGAATACTGAAAGAAAACACATTGCTTTACGGCACATGAGCAGTGGTTTCACGAAAATGTAACATGTATTTCATCTGCTGTAGCAGGAAGATCCCTACAGCACAAGTTATTGTATTAACAACGAGTCTAAATTTTATATCATAGCAAAATGCTTATGGAGCTGCGGTGGCTCAAGTGGTTAAGACGCTGAACTGCAGGCTGTGGAAGGTCGGTAGTTCGGCAGTTCGAGACCCGAGTGTGCCGCATGACGGAGTGAGCTCCCGTCTCTAGTTCTAGCTCCTGCCAACCTAGCAGTTCGAAAGCAAGAAATTGCAAGTAGATAAATAGGTACCACTTCGGTGGGAAGGGAACAGCGTTCCGTGTGCCTTGGTGTTTAGTCATGCCGGCCACATGGCCACGGAAACGTCTTCGGACAGCGCTGGCTCTTCGGCTTTGAAACGGAGATGAGCACCGCAACCCTAGAGTCGGATTTGACTGGCTTTCGAGCAAGGGAACCTTTACCTTTACCTTTAATATAGCCTCATGCCAATCCTAAAAGGAAAGCACTGCAACAGTTTGCTTGTAGTCCTATATCATGATGGTCATTCCTATGGTCTGCTGCCACCAGCTTGACAGGGGATCCTGGAGGTTCTGTGTCATCTTCTGGGTGTAGAACAGGGGTCCCAGGGGTGTGGGGGGAGGTCTTTGTGAATTTCCTGCCTTGTGCAAGGGGTTGGACTAGATGACCTAGGAGGGCCTTTCCAATTCTAGGATTCTATGTCATTTTTTTAAAGCAAGGTTTGTTGTATCTCTCAATTTCCTCCCTTTTTGTCTTGTTTGATTGATAATTATGTTCACACATACCAATTAGCAGGGGTCATTTTGTAGAAAAAGAGGGGCAGGAGCTCATTAGCATAACTCAATAGCATAACTTATTTGTATTTGCCACACACCCTGACATCATCGGAAGTGTGTCAGAAGGCAACACCCACCGCTCAGGCTCCACTGGACTGTTTTGGATGGCTAGCTATTGGGGGGGGGGGATGCAGATCTGTCCTCGCAGAGGAGG